TCCCCGTGTGTGGGCTTCTCACTGCGAAAATAGAACCAAAAACCCTTTTTGGGGAATTATCACCCGAATGCCATCCTATCGCAACTAGGTCCAGACGCCATTCAAAACCAGATGAACTATTCATACCATCCGAAGTCCGGAAACTACTACATGCGGGAATCATAGAACCGTCGAGGTCTCCTTGGCGGGCCCAGGTCTTAGTAACCTCTAATAAAGACATAAGAAACGTACGGTCATGCAATACGGTCAAACCATAAATCGATTCACGCAACTCGATGCGCATCCGTTCACCCGCATGCACCACTTCATTCAGCAGATGGCGCGTTTTGATGTTTTCAATACCCTAGACCTGAAAGGTGCCTGCCATCAAATACCCATCCAAACAGAAGAAAAGAAATACACCGCCTTTGAGGCTTGTGGGAAGCTGCATCAGTTCCGCATCCTATTTGGATTGACCAATGGCGTAGCATGTTTCCAACTAACTCTGGATATTATAATCAACAAGGAACAACTTTCTAGCACTTACGCCTACGTGGACAACATAATTTGTGGTATGGGTGGAACATGACCGAAATCTGCAAAAAAATTTTACTGAGGCCAATAGATACGGTTTCACATTCAACGAAACTAAAATTGCCAATTCTGTGAGACAAATAAACATCTTGGGTTTTGACGTTTCAAAGGGATCTTGAAAGACTCAAACCCTTAAGGGACCTGCCACCACCTCGAAATGTGAAAGAGCAGGAGCGCGCAGCCGTCACGACGAGACTGCACCTTGACGTGGTGTGGTGGCTTGTATACCTCTGTGACCCAAAGAGCCATATAGGATGGTTTTATAAAGCCAGGAGATCTAATCATGCCTGGAAGGTTAATGGGTAGAGATCAGACGAAGTTCAGTCTCCTGGTTCTCCAGATTGGGGGTTCGACTGGAATTTGGCGTTTCAATCGATAAAAAGCGGTGGAGGAGTTATTGATCCAAGTATATGGGCCTCCACTTCGCCTCACCCGCTGCCTTGTGGTTAGGTTCTTGTTAGAACTAAAGGCTTTGGACGAGAACCCTAATCGCTCTCCTACTTAGTGGATGACCACCCTAGCAGTACTTGTCCATCAAAC